GAAAGAGTAACTATATTTTTCAGATTACAATGTCGACTGACAACATCTGGTTGGATGTGATTAATGGTGGATAGTAGTAGTCGATGACGGTTGTCAGATGACAACGATGGTTGGTGGTGGTCGGCGGTGGTAGGAGGTGGTCAACGGCGGTCGACGGTGGTTGACGACGGAGGTCGCAGTGATGTTGAGCTGCAGCTTTTCCTCAAGGCATCAGACTCTCTCTCTAGCCTTCAACTCTTTTTCATGTGAGGGATGAGAGTCTATTTATAGTTTTCTGTGTGCAATTAATGCAGGAATATCAACCATTTTGATCGGACGGTTCAGAGAGTTTTCTCCAATCATGTCGCGTTTAATTGACATTTGAGTGCTTTAACGATGTTGGAATTAAGTAATCTTGGGCTAGTTGGGTTCTTCTTGTTGAGTCGCTCGATTCAAGTATAAACTTACTAGTATCATCATCTGTTTGACCTTCCAAATGTACCCAGAAATCTTCCAAGGGTGGTTTAATGACATGATGTGAGTTGGGTTTAACTCGGATTGAACTAGTTTTAATATCATTAGGTCCATCTCATCGAACCGGTTAGTTTGGCTATAAATTTACTGAAATCAGAACTTTGGATGACATTTTATCAAGATTTAAATGTTTCTTGCTTAAAATATTATCTTGAAATTTGTGTTTTGCTTCGAGATTCATGCTGGATGATGAAAATTTATTGATGATGTATCAATAATCTTCGAAATTGTTAAGGTTAAACCAATCAATTTGATTCAATAAATTCACATTTTATTTTATATTTTGTGTAAATAGATTTGTACGAAAATTTTAGATATAGATGCTCTTATATTTTATCTTGATGATCTACTGTTATTAAAATCATCTGCGTACTGATTGGAACTATTTTTTATCTTTAACTCGCACTCTTTTGCTAGATTTTGTGAACTTCCAAGGTTAACGAGCGGGGAGTGACAATATGAATGTTTAGCTGTTAGATGAGGTAATTCAAGGAATTGTGAGATATGTATGAAAATGCCCATAGATATATATCTCAAAGTAAAAAAATATTCAATCAAACAAATAGGATATATTATAAAATAATTATTTCATACCAGCAAATAACAATGAAAACCCTTCAAGATAAAAATTATATTTCCTTACATATTTTTGATAAAATATTATTTTACTTTAGATAATTATCTTATAATCCAAAAATAAAATGCACCAAAATTTCTAATATAAAATTTTTCAACTATAATATTCTCAATTGCAATAACATAAACTTACCATTAAAGACTCCCATCATACATTCAAATACATTGTATCTCATGGAAAAAAATCACATTTACTAATACCACTCAATTCTTATGTAATTACATATCTAACACAAACTTTAATTTTTACATTAATTTTAGTTAAAATAGTGATATTTTTATGTGATAGGAAAGATTTGGGTGATATTAATGTAAAAATCAAAATTTTGGTGTCAGATAGGTAAATACATAGGATTTAGGTTGATTGTATGTAAATGCCCCAATTTAGCGAAATTCCCCTACCTTGGCTTCCAAGTAGATAGAGCAATGAAGATACGCCCTCTCCAACCCTGAAGCAGCCATTGGTCATCAACATCAATACTGAAATCCTTATGGTAATAAGTTTTTACCCCGTCCTTCACCTTGTTCGCATGCTTCTTGTTGATAGGCAGTTGCTGGAAACCAGCTCTCAAAAATCTCATTTGATACTGCTTGTATGTCTCCGGCAACTCAGTCCTCTCCATCCCTTCGCAAGCAATAACATTGATCGCGTCTCTTGCGTAGAGATCCCTCTCCACGAGCAACCTCTGTTCGTTCTCCCTCGGCGCCGTCATCTCTATCATATCAAATATGGCTGAGAAATGGTATAGAGCTTCACGAAACCTCGTCAAAAAGAATGGTGCTCCATAGCTCCCATTCCCAGTAGCGCTTATAAACAAAGCTGGATTGAACTTTCTTATGGTCCTTAGGAACTTATCTCTTGAGCAATCCACACCCATGGTCTCGTCGCCCAGAGAATGTAGCTGGAACAGACAGTTGACCACAAGAATTTCTTCCTCGTCGAGGTGTAGGTCCTCAACCTTCAACTCATCGAGCTTTGACGCCACCGCTTGGTATTCAAAAGGGACGCCAAATCTCTCAGCATAACAGGCAATCCGGCGGCCAGTCTCCTCTATCAATTCTGCTGGACGAAATCCTGGCATGGGCTTGTCAACGGCGGTGATGCGGAGCTTCGGCGGCCCCCCATTGCGGGAGGATAACATCTTCAAGAAGGCCGGCCATTGGAAGCCAAGGAATGTTCCGATGTCCAGGATGTGGACTCTGGTTGAGCTTTTGATTGCGTCCAAAATTGTCTGGTTTGAGAAGTTGTAGGAGACCTGCTTGAAGGGGCATGCTGAGAGATAAAGCTGGTAACCTTTCAGCACATCAGCTAATGTCCTCCGCACTGAAGCCATGGATTGGTAGAGTTCACTTCCAGTTCCGGCCAAGCGAGCTTCGAGTCCATTGCAAAAGTAGTGAGCTACGCGCTGAGAAGCGTCCCCATGAGGAGAAGAATGATGCCGTATTTGTTTAAGTAATTCGTGAGCTGTTTTATGGTCGCCGGAAGCCACCGTCTGTGCACAGTCCATGAGAAGGACTTGAAAATCCACCACCTCCTTGTTGGGTTGTTTCTTCTTTCTGAAATTTTGGCTTTCTCCATACTTTCTAGGCTCGGCGATTTCTGAGGAGTTCTTGCTTGCCGCTTCGTTCTTTATTGCTTCTCTAATAGATCTTACAACTTTTGGAAAATTCTCAGCGGTGCTTAGGAGAACCCTGTCCAACATCTCAGGGGAGACGGGTGGTTCTTCGAATGATACTGCAGATTGTTTGGCGCTCCTTTGCTCTTTCATATCAAAACCATCATCGTGGTGTCGGCTTTTAAGCCGCCGACCTGTTCCATCCTTGGCATTTACCTTAGTGCAGGCAGAATCCTCTGCGCTAACCTTCACAAAAAGCTTATCTTTGCTGGGAAAGAACTTGTCTGCTTCCTTTGGTCCTTTTTCAAAGTGGGAAGCTGGGTTTTCTTCGAAGAACAGGTTTGAGAGATCATCCAATCCAAACTGAAGACCAGCGTCATCGTATATTGAGTTGACTGAGGATTGGGTAAAACTTAAATGGGAGTGAAGAAACTCTGAAAATTCAGCGTAGGAGGGATCATTGTCTGTGAAATCGTTGGCGCCAGCAATGCAGTTGCTATTGTAATGCTGGCCACCTGAGCTCCCCGAGCTGGGACTCGAGTAGAGAAGTGACCGATCTGGAGGGTACTTTTCCCCGATGATGTCGTAAAAGGGCCTCTCGGTGGCCTCGAGGGCTGGATGACTCTCAAGCAAATCCAACTTGTCATCCATGTCCTCCTCCATGAGCATCTGGTTGATGAAGTCCAGGACCAAATGAGAGAAGATCTCAGAGTTTTCATCCGTGTCCCCTTCATGGCTATGTGAAGTCGAATTCGGGAGGTCGGAAACATAATTTTGCTCATCGAAAAGTGGCTGTTCTCCCAAATTCGGACTTGAAATATGTTCATGAGCAAGAAAATCGATGTAATTGATATCATCGTCTGCACCATTAGGAACTGTTTGATTCTTCAACATATCTAACAAACGGAAAAATACCATTCAGTTCATCACAACCGCTTGAGGGCTATTGATCGACTGTTTCAGAGAATTTTTTCAAGAAAATCTCAATCAGGCACTTCAAATCAGAAATCATGGAAGCAGAAGTAAACCCTAACCAAAAACGAAGACTCAAAGGAGAAAATCTTATGTGCAACGACATATACTACCGGCAAACTGTGTGAATCATCAGGGCATCGCCAAAACTCTTGAGAGCTCCTTCTCTGCTCCAGTGAAATTTTACGGGTCTTATTGGGGTTTTTCTCTTCAAGATGATGAAGCTTCCTGGAAGATGTCCAGATAGCGAAGCGAATTTATGGTCTTCCGATGGAAAAATTGCATCCAGACTCCTCTGATATTTGTCACCTCAAAGTGACGGATCCATTATATATATATATATATA